TCATTTGTTTGGAAATGGCTGCCCCCTGTCTTGTTCACGTTTCCCGTAATTATCAGAGGGTATTTTCGCTCCCTCTCTTGCGGCATGTTGGAACTGTCCAGCGTACTGATGTTGCACCACGAAGACTGAGAAGCAGACCGTTTCCCAGCAAGTCGCGCCTTCCCGGTGAAGCGTTGACGCTAGAACAAAGATTGAAAGGTAATACTCTAATATTAAATTCATAATTCAATTATTAATATTATTATTAATTGTAAATATTATAATCTTAATAATAATATTGTTATAAACAGGACTCATCTGTTGCGGTCAAATGACCTCATGACATGTAAGGACGCTAGCAAATTGTATATGACGGGTCCCAAATAAGCTGTAGCTTAATACACAAACCCATTATCAAGATATCAAGATATCAGGACGAGTTGAGGGGTATACATTATACAGCACAGATCATGCCAATGGCAGTGTACATAACGTTCCCTAAAATGACATCCACATACACAACACCATGGACGGTGTCTGACTAGCCGCTATAGGCAATATACAGATCGACAAGCATGATGCAGGCTGCGAGCAAACTCTGCAGAGAGAGAGAGCCCAGCGGTGTCAACAAACATACTTGCACAGCGTGTCTGCAGCCAATCACTCTTTGCTTGTGTAATATTCGAGAGGTCGCTTTGCATCAAAATTTGGGAACAAGGTAGATGGGGTAAACATCAGGTTTAGCGTCTTAAATTAACTTGCAAACGCCATCGCCAGATGGCGCTAAGCGGTCTATCGGCGTTACGGGCGTATACCTTCTCCCCTTCCTCCTCCTCCACCAGCTCCCTTCGCCCCCTCCTTCTTCCCTCCTCCTTTCCACAACGCTCCTGATATATATAATATATATATAGGGTTAGGGTTAGTCAGAAATAGCTAAACGAGCCAGGTCAAACAGAGGTCAGGGGGACATAGACCCTATAAGCCTAATTAGGCCATCCTTAAAAAATTATATGTTTGCTGTCCTCCGAACGACCCACGAAAATAGCCGCGACCCAAAAGTTTTTTTTTACATTTTGGGTTCCATATTTTTATTTTTTTTTATTTTTTTTTTTACATTTTTCATAGTTAAGACTGAAACACAAAGCATGTGTGGCAAACATGAGGACAGACTTAAAATAACTATTATGCCTCACACACACAAAAATGACCTACTTACCTACCCACTAAAAAAATCATGGGTCGGGGGACAGCAAACAGAATTTTTTAAGGATGGCCTTAACCATAACCTACACATGCATGTTATCAGGAGTCTATCAATAGATAGACTCCTGATATTATAATAGTATAATAGAGTCTATTGATAGACTCCTGATGTTATAACCATAACCTACACAGCTATAATCCAGTGAGACTTTTAAATATGAAAATAAATACAAATTAAATTTAAAATGTTATACATCTATTAGTCATGTAAGGCTGTAAAATTAAAGGCAGCAAGCAGCAGTTTTGCTGCCTACAAGGGTCAATTTGCTGCCTTCTCTCAGCGTCCGCAGAAAATACTTGCTACCAAGAAATTCCCATTAAACTATAGTGAAAGTACTATAGATATAGCCTGGATTCATAAATTTGAACCCTGCTTTTTTCTCTGGCAGCAAGTATACTTGCTGCCTGAGGAAAAACACATGTTTACATACCTAGTTGACACACATATGCATCCGCAAACGTTTTGACGTCGACTTCTGGTTCACCATAGTAATCGGTATAAATCAAACCTATATAGGTTAACTAGCAAATCAGCAATTCTTTTATAATGTAGTCTTTAGATCATAACTTTCAAATAAAGACCTACGATCCGACTACATTAATGGGTTTCATATACTGTGAGTAACACTGTTAGAAGATGTATAATTGTTTAAATTACCTTCAGAATAGATAATCAAATATTGGAATGCTTAAATGAAGTCTTCTAGTGTATCACTATAACATTAAATGCGATGTCTATCTTATTAGTATTCTTGCAAATAGTGTTTTTTGTTCATATATCTTTCTATTATTTGAATTGAACCACATGTATATTTCTCATTCATTTATAGGTAATGTGATTGAGTGGTGCTTGCCTATAAATGACTTTAATCTGGATGGTTTGGAGTTCAAGGCCATGGTCAGTGGTGGACACAGACTCCATAGTGACTTTCTGTAAGTTAATTAAATGTATCAACTTGACTTTTCCCACCATGCATCAATCAATGGTAGCCCTCTACTGAGTCTTGTTTAATAAAATAAGGATATATCATCTCTTAAACATCAAATGAAAAAATCAATAGGTGTAAGTATATATATAATCTCTATTATCTATATATCTATATATGAAGAGAGAGAGAGAGAGAGGTAGAATCAAGAATGAGGCTTAGCGTTTAAGTGAGAATAGGTTTACTAACTAATTTGCATACTTAAAGTTTTGGTTGTAATCTAAAACTTATTAGTGTTTATTATTGGCTTTCATAGCAATTTTACAGCTAGGAAGCTAGCTTTGTGATGCATCTTGTTACACAGTGATACATCTTAAATTGAAGATCGTATTAAAGCTCGTAACATACACCTGCCTCGGATTGATTAAATTGTCTTGGAAATGACAAGATTATTGATCAAGAGTTGTTTTAAAATTACCCTTAATGTATAGTCATTGCATAAGATTTCCACTCCATTATTCTCAAAAAAACAATTGATTGGAATCTTAGCATCCTAGATGTGAGCACATCTGTCTAATTGTTAACGCTTCCTTATGAATCTCATTATAGATATTTCAAAAAGGATAATCTCTATGGCATAAGCTGCTTCGAGAATATGCCTGTCGAATCACAACTAGAAAGGGGTGCACGAATGAAATCTGTGGGTATTCTCACGACGTCATACAGAAATCTGCACTGCCACAAGCCGTTTTTAGAAATACAAGTGAGGTAATTGTCAATATCGTCTTAATTGTTTTACTCTCATTTGCAATAGTATGTCTGAGATTAGATTTTCTAACCATGAATGAAGTTATAAAATGGGTCTAAACATTTCCTTCTATATAGTCCAAGTATTGTTCTTAATGCTAGCACTTTAGAAATAAATGGCAACTAGGAATCTCTAAATGCTGATAGCAGTCTAGATTGCCCATGAGAACAGGACAAGACTGTTTCCATGTACTAGAATATTTTGACCGATCTCTTTGCCAGGAAACTTTTAGAGGATCCAGGTAACTATGACATTCTTGAGGACTTCTATGAGAAAAAGAAGGGTGTACTGCATGAGCAATCAGACAACAGTAGCAGCACATATCTCACTGCTGATTCCACGAGATCATATCCCAGTGCTACGGACGGTCATTCTCATCTGAAGGTATAGCTAACGGTTAATGGACGTGAGACATGAACAATGAGAAATGTTGGATAGTAATTCACCGTAGTGATCATTTAAAGTTAAACACATTTCAGATGCAGATGCATCTAAGTACCCAGTCCAAATAAAATATCAAACTAGCACCTTGATTAATACATTATACAAATTTCCATATGATTTTG